TCTCAGAAGGGACATGAGTTCCTTCAAGGTTTCAGATAAGCCTTGCTAGCTGATGACTGTCAACTAGCACGAAACCTAGGTCTAGGCAGGGCTTCCTGTTGATTGCCTCCAACTATCTTATATCAACAACATTTGATCTTCGAGTCAAGTGCGAAACTACAGTGTAAACGTTTAGATAGCAGAGACAGAAAAAGCTTCTCTAGAATTCTTAGAGACTCAAACTAATTAGCACTTAACACGCATGATGACATAAATTTATTAATCCACAAAGAACAGATCACACACACACACAAACAAATGTCAGTTAAACGATAGGATCTGTATCAGCATCACTGGATATAATCATAAGGAAATCGCAGTTAGTTTTCAGAAAAAGTCAAGAATTTCATCCATGAACTATTCGAAAGGCACACTTCACATTGAAGTGAGGGATAATCAACGCTTGGCAGCTAGACATTCTGGCTCAGAGAATTCAACAACGACAAAACCATTCACCTGAGCTACAAATCTCAGCTTTTTTGTAATGCCTATCTTTTCAGAGGAAAATGCTGTAGAAAAAGATATGTCGAAGTGAAGACTTACCCAAAAACCATATAGTGGGTCCACTTAACAGTGGTGTCCTTCATCTTTTTGTTTATTGCAATAACTATTTAAAAGAAGAATTAACTAGTTATTTTAATAGTGTTAGAAGAGCCAAATTTAAATTTAAAGTTATTCCCTTGGGTCCGGAGTAGAACATAGGGATTCAACAGCACATTTCCATTTCACTGTTCTCTTTTGTCCTGTTTAGTTACCTCCATGATTGTCCATAAGATTTCATCTCCTACTCACATGATCTTCACCATATCACATTAGGACTCCCAATTCGTCATTTCCCATTTAGGTTGCACTTGAGCACCAAATGGCTTTTTCTGTTTGTGTTATTAGTTAGTTCGTCCCCAGATTTGCTTGTCGCTAATTGTTTTGGACCAGCCGTCTGACAACAGTTTGGAGCAAAGGCAACTGTTGACGACAGTATGCGGCCTGTTGGAAATGATTTCCGTGACAGGCACTGCAAGTCCATGAACCTTATAGAAACACTGACTGACTTAACATTGGTATCCAAAGTCCGACTATTCTTCTATACGCTGACTGCAACTAATCTTTACTCTGATTTCAGAGTGATAAAGGTCTGCCTTACCTTTCCGATGCTTAACTGTGCCACATGTAGTTGGAACGACGGCACTTAGTTAAGTGAAGGAATTGACCTCTTTCAAGTTCTCCCTGTCGGTAGTGATTGGTGCTTGTTGTGGTTGGCTGGTTATCTTTATCAACTCCGTCTTATACATATATATATATATATATCCACTTCAAGTCCTGTCTTTGCTGCTTCTTCTGCGAACTTGTTGATTTCCGGCTGTGTCTTCGAATTCAAATGACATTAGACGTAATTCATCGGCATAGTCCAACGCATTCTTGTCTTCTCGCTCCGCACAGTCTGCATCATGGTTTAGTGCTTAACAGTTAGGAATGTCATCGTGGGTGATAGCAGGCAGCTTTGTATTACTCCTTTCTTCACTTCAAAAGCTTTACTAAGTTTTCCTCTATGAATCTCTTGACATGTGACACTGTAATATAGCTGTTGAATAGAACTGTTTAAGGTTTGGGTCACTGTGTAATATTGAAACGGTTTCCAGATTACTTTTCGTTTAACGCTCTCCAAGGGCTCTCCAAAATCAATGAAGCTGTGATATAGATCTGACTGCTACTCTACGTTCTGTTAGTTGATGGTGACGCTTAGGATTGCGATTTGATCCGCATATGACTTATTTTTCCTGAATCATGCTTGTTCCGGCAGGAGTTCTACATCGAGTGCATCTTTTAGTCTTTTCAGGAGGACGCGACTTAATATTTTGCATAGCGTGGATAAAAAGAGCCCAGGCAAAAGAATAATCTTAGTGATCTCAGATCGATGGAGTGGTGATATAAGATTATATTCATCTTGAAGTTAACATAAACATGAATCTGCGAATGTTATTATGGTTAGGGATAACTAGCAGTGGAATCCAGCATGCACACTTCGCCCTATTTGGAACTTGTAAGCTGTACATGTAGATGCATTCCCAGTGAGTGATGACAATGTTCTCACTGACGTTCATATCCTGCAACATTAGTTCCGAAGGCCAAACCATTATTTACTAGTCCATCAGGGTCCCGAGATCCACCGCTTTGTCATCGGGGGTCAGTTATTCGAAAAGTGAGTCGTTCTACTGAATTACAATAAAATACCCTTGAAAATGTAGTGACTTAAATGACTGCAGTGAAGAAGTATGTCGCACTGTATATCATAAAGGTGTTTATATTATTCATCTATAGGGCTACTGGACCTGTCTGGTTTTCAGTGGTTCTCACACTTATATCAGTGAGTGTTAATATCCACCTGCGGAATTTTTATCGACGATTCATTATCCTAGTTTAAACTATAAATATCATGTAAAACATCATATTCCTTCATCTCTAATCTCTATAATCCTTTTACTATGTACACAGACATTTTTCCTCAGGATTATATGCATTTCTAGTGAAGGAGACTGGAACAAGTTGACTTTCAGTAATCTGAAAATGCATAACAGACACGCGCATCATATTAGACGGACAGCATAAATCAGAATACAAATTAAAATTGGTAAGTCGTGTTGTTATTAAAGAGGAATATAAATCATACAGAATTACTTAGCAGTATTACATGTCCAAGTTCAGCTGAAATTAAGCACCACTGTGACTTTTAAATATTGCGCCTTATATTCAGTATGACAAATATCTGTGACAGTAAATTATAAGAAATGTAAATTGTCAAGGAAAATGAAATTCACTAATTTGGCTAAAACTTTTCCCCCCTTTTTGAACAAAATCATTCCACTTTTGTTTTCTTTAATTTGGAAAGGAAATTTTTAGAAAATGAACTTCTTCCCATCAGTGCAAGATTTTATCTAATTCTTTTGATCTGACATTTGTAGATTCTTATATTCTTATATTATAGATCACTGTTACATGAGAAAAGATTAATTTACTGACTGCTAGAATGTTTCTAAATGAAATGTGGTGATAAATTTATTTAGATTATGGATTTTTGTTGAGTTTTGGATTTATTTCAGTGTATATCTCATTATGAACTACAGTAAGTCAAAGATCTCTGGAACCAGGAAGCACTAAACAACTCTTTCGTCGTAGTGTGAGACTCTTCATCAGCGCGCACCGATGACCTCAGTAGAGATCAAACATAACTCATTATGGCTACTGTACTGAAAAGTTCTGATCAGTGGGAGTGTCCACCATGTCAAAGTGAAGTAGATTCATACTGAAGCTACTGGTTTAAGGCAGCACTGTGTCACGAATTCATAGGTCATAAAATTCTGGCTTAAGCGACCAAATGGTCACCGAGCCTGATTTCGAAACCTGAAGGTCATGGATCTTATCATTTTTAGGGTTTTAGGTGCCCACTGCTGAAGAGTCCTGAACCGGGATGAAACAGCTGCCCAATACTCATGTTATTAGTTAGTTTAAGCAGTCGACTTTCGTCCTGTGTGCATTCAGTTCATTATAAACATTTATATCCAAAGAACACATTTGGTAGCCAGTTGATATCACTCAGTTTCATACAAGTAGATTAGGGATCGTAGTGTGGATTCCTAGAATGTTTGATGATGTACATTGTACAAAGTATCCAATGGAAAAGAAGTATGTATTCGATGAGGGCAGTGTCATTCGATGATAAAATCTACTTTGCAATCTGACAAACTTCTACAAATGCACTAACAGAATATTAATGGTCATGGACTTTCAAGTATTGGTTTTTGCAGAGATTTTTGTTTGTTTGATTGGATGAGGGATTTCATCATGAGCTGACATCAATTGGAGAACCATTGGAAAACCTGGGAGTACTAGATAGCTGATTCGTCAGCGTAACTTGAGACTCTTCATCAGTACTAATGATACAGCAAGGAATTTTCAGCATTCAGTACAATATTGCATCTAATTTACTAAAAAACGACGACAAAAAAATATAAATAAAAGAAATAATCATTACAGAATAATTGTAAGATGAATTCCATTCCCATCCTTAAATCAAGTCAACCTGTCCCGGATCAGCCTAGCATTGTTGCAACACAATTATCCATGCCCAACGTGTCTATCCCACCTTGTTTAATTAACTGTGTATGTGTGTTTTTACTTCGATCCTTTTAGTCAGACAGTTGAACTCATGACCCAATCAGAGTATTTTTGTGAACTGTTATTTTGCTGCCCCATGTCTTACTTTGTACTATTCTGTTGAGTTTATCTTATTTATTGATTGGTTAAGTAGCCAATTAAATTCTATCTTTGTGCCTATGCTTTGTCTATCTCTTACTTGGGTTCATTCTTCTACTGACTGCTTACCTGAACGGTCGTGTCTGATCCGGCTAGTTCGTAATTTTGGCTTTAACGTTATTCCGCTCTGATAGCGGTTCCTTGCTTTCTGTTAAGCATTGTGTATTGTACTCTTGAAACCGTTAAGGTTTGTTGTATATATATTTATTGATTTGTTAATTAATAGTACCGTAGAAACAGTGACCGGCTTCTTGTTTGTTCTGGACCGGGATAGCCTATATCTACGCGTGACTTAATTTCAAGCGATATTGCGCTTACAGTACTTAACGTCTAGAGTTAAAGTTTGCCGGATCAGCCCTTGACGGAAGAGACCGTACTGAACTGGTCAGTACTTATCGCCTTGACAGAAAAGACCGTACTGAACTGGTCAGTACTGAACGCCTTGACGGAATAGACCGTACTGAACTGGTCAGTACTGAACGCCTTGACGGAATAGACCGTACTGAACTGGTCAGTACTTAACGTATAGAGTTAAAGTTATCCGGATCAGCCCTTGACGGAAGAGACCGTACTGAACTGGTCAGTACTTATCGCCTTGACAGAAAAGACCGTACTGAACTGGTCAGTACTCAACGTCAGTTAGAAAATCCCGTACTGAACTGGTCAGTACTGAACGTTCATTTAGAAGAAACTGTGGTGAATTGGCAGCACGCAACGTTGTTGAAAATACATTTTCTTTGGAACAATGCAAACCAGATCAGGGAAGCGAATTTTGGAGCAGCAGTCGGAGAGTCAGCAAGTCCCCGTTTGCATAAATGATCATGTTGATAACCTTTCGTGCCCCGGCTCTCATGTCAGTAGTTCGAAACCATCATTATCGCGAGTAACTAGTGCTAAGTCGTCGCTACTCAGGGCGCAGCTAAAGGAGAAACAGCTTCGAGAGGAGTTAGAGTTAGAGAGAAAGTTGCTAAAGGCTAGACATGATGTCGAAATGGCTGAGCTGCTTGTGAAGTTAGCCGTGGACGACAAACGGAAAATTGAAAATACGAAAAGAGACACTGTCAACTACGCTCGAATCAGCGAAGAGAGTATCAAAGACGACATCAGAAGGCCATATGAAGCTGAGTTTAGGGATACTGAAGAAAACGAACACTCATTTTCTATCGAAGATCCTAAGGCAATCGAGTTGGTTACTCAAAGCACCGTCTTAGAAAAGGGGCATTACATCATTTCCTTGCCATGGAAAGATCCAGCAAAGGTAACGGACAATAATTATGTGGTTGCCATAAATCCGCTACTCAGTCTGAAATGGAGGTTATCGCGTGACAAGAACCTTTCAGCACGATATGTGGATGGTATAAATACGATGTTAAAAAATGGTTATGCCCTTCCGGTACCCATAGAGCAGCTAGCAGCCAACTATCGCCCGAGGTGGTATCTTCCACATCATCCCGTAAAGAAACCGAAAAAGCCAGATAAACTGAGAATAGTTGTAGATTGCGCCGCAACCTTTAGAGGCTATTCTTTGAACGATAAGCTATATGAAGGACCTGATACGATTACCGAGCTTGTTGGTGTTCTGTTGAGCTTTCGAGAAAAGCCTATTGCTGTAGTCGCGGACATAGCTGATATGTTTATGCAAGTGAAAGTGCCACTAAACGATCGACGAGCATTACTATTTCTGTGGTGGAAAAATGGTTTTCTAGACGAAGAGCCGCAGGAGTTTCAGATAACAGCGCATCCGTTCGGGGCTACTTCATCACCCTTCTGTGTGAAATTCGCGTTGAGAAAGGCAGTAGAGGGCTTTGGTTGCTTATATCCGGAAACAGTAAGAGAGCTGGGCACGAGGGTTATACGGTGTAACATGATTCATAAAATCCTAGTCGGATTTTGGGGGCCGGTGTAAGATGAATTCCATTCCCATCCTTAAATCAAGTCAACCTGTCCCGGATCAGCCTAGCATTGTTGCAACACAATTATCCATGCCCAACGTGTCTATCCCACCTTGTTTAATTAACTGTGTATGTGTGTTTTTACTTCGATCCTTTTAGTCAGACAGTTGAACTCATGACCCAATCAGAGTATTTTTGTGAACTGTTATTTTGCTGCCCCATGTCTTACTTTGTACTATTCTGTTGAGTTTATCTTATTTATTGATTGGTTAAGTAGCCAATTAAATTCTATCTTTGTGCCTATGCTTTGTCTATCTCTTACTTGGGTTCATTCTTCTACTGACTGCTTACCTGAACGGTCGTGTCTGATCCGGCTAGTTCGTAATTTTGGCTTTAACGTTATTCCGCTCTGATAGCGGTTCCTTGCTTTCTGTTAAGCATTGTGTATTGTACTCTTGAAACCGTTAAGGTTTGTTGTATATATATTTATTGATTTGTTAATTAATAGTACCGTAGAAACAGTGACCGGCTTCTTGTTTGTTCTGGACCGGGATAGCCTATATCTACGCGTGACTTAATTTCAAGCGATATTGCGCTTACAATAATGATAACAAAACGTTTTTATAGCAGCTATTTAGCAAGTTACTGTAGGCAGTACGGAGAAAAATACGCATGAAGTATAAAATTATAGTAATAATAGTAATAACAACTAAAATAAAAATAGCAAAGTTATAATTAAACGATAGAAAGGGTGACACCATAAAATTACAGAAAGATGGACAATGAAAGGGTCGATTCACTATGCTAATTACATAGTAACTTATATGTTTCACGTCTAACAGAGTCTTCATCACATAAAATACGGACTAAATACGGTATTGTAGAATTTTTGTACTTAGTGGTTCGAGCATATAATTTCTTATATTGACTTCTCGTTCTACCTGATGAGATACAAGGGGATAGTTGTGAATAAAGGGGGTGCAGAGGGTCTGACAGTACGGCCTTTGCCCACTTTGTACAGGAATTTATGTGTCTCTCGACTATAGTATTGGCGAGCTCACGCAGTGGCAAACCACAAGCCCTATTCACAGCATTTAATACCCTTCGTAATATGACATAGTCTTTTTTAAGAAGCCCAGGAAAGATTAATGGAGAACAATAGAGTGCAATAGGTAAAATACAGGAGTTTAAAAATCGCCACTGGGACCAATCCAATTGCCAGACCATGAACTCTAGCTTCTGACAATTCATGACATAGCGCGACCACTTCGGAATGTCTTCTTCGATGAGTTACTGCCTCACTTTCAACCTGCTGTACCCTATTGGTCATGGCTTCTCACTAGAACCCCGGGTAGCTGCCTGAATAGGACCAGTAGCCAGTGAGCCCTGATTCACTTTTCATACATTTGAAAATAATAAACTACTATAGCTCACTGAAACATTCCAGCATTCTTTGAACAAGCGTCTACATTACTAAAAATGAATTAAACAATATCTCTGAGAATAGAAGAAATGTTTAGGGGATAAATTGTGTGGCGTGTTGTATGAACCATATTTATCTGTAGTATATAGATGCAGATTGATAAGAAGTAGCCAACACTGAAAACAACATTTCAGGTTAGTAGCTGCAGAAGTAGAAATGTTTATTTTTCAAATCTGGATTTAGCTTACTTTGTGGTCAGGAAATTATCTCAAGTTTTAACCTTCAGAAAATCTGCAAGTATTGGTTTTGTAGGGATTTGGTTTGATTGCATGGAGGATTTCATCATGAGCTGACATCAGTTAGAGAACCATTGGAAAACCAGCTAGGAGTACTGGACAGCTGTTTCGTCCTAGTTTGGGACTCTTCAGCAGTACGCGCCCACCGGGATTCGAACTCAGGACCTTCTGGTTACGAGGCGAGCTCGTAGACCATTGAGCCACTGGGACCCGATCCAATGGTCCTTGAATTCTAACTTCTGCCAATTCACGACATAGCGCGACCATTTCGGAATGTCTTCTTCGATGAGTAACTGTCCTCATCTTCAGAAAATCAACAACCAATCAGAACAGTTTATTATCCGTTCACCTAGCCGACCATAAATATTGTGTGGTTTTCCGCAACAAAAATGTCCGTTACTAAGTTTCTTGTCCTCTCCTGCTACAGCTATTCAACTACTTAAGGGAAATCTGCATACTGACAGCAAGCTGAATAAATTTATTTTGACATGCATTGTAGGCGGCATTAATGAATATTTCAAATATAAATCAATCATTGTGTTTTGTCTATAGGATAATAAGATAGTGAATATAAATTGTGTAATTATCCATAATAGTAGTAATGATAATGATAATAATAATAATAGTGGTCTTATCAATAATAAGGATGAAAAAGTGATACATTTATCTTAGCTGATGAGAATGTAAACATAGACGAATTCTTGATGAAATTCAACAACGTCCGCCCTTTGCTTACTTTTACTTGTGAAGAGGAGCAGGATAGTAAACTGCATTTTCTGAATGTCTTGCTGAGTAGACGAGAAGATGGGCCACTTGGGAGAAGCGTGTATAGAGAGAGCACATTCGCAGGGCAATACACACACTTCCTTAGTTACGTGGCCATTAAAATAAAAGGAATGTCGTAAAATGTCTTGCGAGCAGAGCAAGAAAGATATGTACGGATGACCTCTTACAAAAGGAATTTGAATATATTCACGATTCCTTGACGGAGATGGGCTATCCGATTTGCTTCATAAGGAGACATATGAAAACATTAGATAGAAAACCAGAGACTTTAATTGCACGTTAGAAGCCACTATTTTTTAAGTTACAATTTAATGGCAACTTGTGAAGTGAGATTTTATTCCAGAGACTTTCCAGGAGTATACGAAGAACGTTTTAGGCAGCATACCTGTGTTTGTCATTCTCACTGCGACGAATGATTGGGACTCAAACGAAGGATTAGCTAGATAGTTTTGTCACATCAATGTGCATTTATCAGTTCAGCTGAACCTGCGGAGAGACATTTATGTTGGGCGTACTACTAGACAGCTTAACCAACGTGTTAATGAATATCTTCCATCGTGGTTTGGCAAAGGACAGACAAAAACAATCCGTAGCTCAATTTTGTCACATTTAGTCGATAGCTGTCATGTAGTGGAGAAAACGAGAGCTTTCAAAGTAATTCATCGTATCCCACCGAATCTTTCCAATAGACTTCGTATTCGTCTACTGCACGCACACATCCAAGGCGACAGCCATTCGAACTATTAAACCTAAACTATACATTCAAAAGAAGTTCGTACAGACATTAACCCTCCCTTGTTGGCCTATTAAGACACAACCAACTGATGAATTCTACACCACCCCTTACTTATATTGTCAACCCCTCTCTTATCATCCTTTAGTCTTATCACATGTTCATTAAAAACGTGTTTCATTTGCTTCCCTTACAATCAGTCTAGCATTACTTAATCGGTTCATTTGTTTTTCTTAGCCTTTATCGACTACTGCGTTCACCTGAACATTTGTTTGTTCAATTATGCTGTTTTTCATTATTCCTGTTATCACAGATTGCCTCAATTTTCATCCTTATTATTGATAAAACCACTATTATTATTATTATGACTAATTACACAGTTAATGAACATTTGTTCATATTTGTCTTTAGAATAGAAATATTATCACCTCAATCAATATCATGTCTTTCAAACAACTGGCATTAGCAGTTTCTCATGAACATTTTTTAAAAGTTTTACATTGCTGCACGGTCTATGGTTCAATCTTTAGTTAATGTTAGCAAAGATATCATCTTGGCGATTAATTCCTCAAAAGCAAATGTACAGTCTCATTTTTATACGTAAGTTTACATAGCTACAATCATTATTTAGTCCAACATGATAACGAAAGGAGATTAAAGGCGACAGCAATTCTAAACTTGATATAAAAGTTCGGACGTGTGAATATCGATCCTAACAAATTTGTTTTTAATCAATTCCCAGTCAATATGTCGATATTACAGCAAGATGTCAATTTCGATTTCTAATAATAGGGAGTTTTCTAAGCTAAATAAGGAGAGTTATTTAGATAAAGCAATAGGAAGACATAATTTGTCTGAATCGTGTAATGTATTTGCGCAACACACATTTCGAACAATCTGATCACTCATGGATCTGCTTTAGGAATATATATGAAATTAGTAGAGAGTTAAGAGGTGAGAAAGTAGACTTAGGTCAAGTTAAAAGGACATATTGAAGGTCAAAATAACAACGGAGATCAATAAACCAAATATGACAGGTAGTAGTACATCTTCACTAGCTGGTATCAAAACGAAGTTTACCAAGGAAGGTTTAATGGGATAACGAATTGTTTTTGAAAGCACAAAGGTGGTTTGAACTTCCCAATTGCCAGTTAGGACTTCCACAAACTTTACGATACGCCCCAAACACGTTTTATAGATTGGTTTAAAAGATCTGTTAACGTCAATTTTATGTCCTGTCTCTATAATATGTTTCTCAACAGAGCAACTAGGTTGCTTGTTCTCACCAATAATGGGTTCTGGGGATTCTATTTGTTTCTGATGGCATTTAGCAACATGCTTTGAGGCCAGTCCTTACTTGCAGAGATCGACGAGTCCTCTCTATGTATGCGTGTCCACACGTACATTCAAACTGGCAAATACAGTGGGGTGTGACATGATTTTTCGCATGTTCAGAGGGCTTAGATAGATATATTGGCTTCACATTCTCAATTATTATGATATCAGCTGCATAGAAAGTCTTTTTAGCCACAGCCTTCAATCTTTGTCGAGTTATCAAGCTGCTATGATCATCCATATAGGGTAGCTTGATGTACACGTCTTTCTTAGGGGCGAGTTGGAGAGTGGGTCTTGATGTTCTGACTACATTATATCTCCTGATGAACTTGTCTGGATAATTGTTATCAACCAAAGTTTTGTATCAACTTTCTTTCTTCCTAATCAAGTGTGTCTTCGTTGCATATTCGTTGAATTCTACTAAAGAGGCACTTCGCTCACTAAGGCTTTTTGTACCGAACAGGGCAAAAACTGTAGTAATTAAGATGCTGTCCTGTCCAGGTAGGTTTCCTATAAATAGATCTTTTTATTGACCCATCAAGCCGTTGACTAAGCAATATGTCTAGGAAAGATGAACATTTATTTTCCTCTTCTACAGACGTAAGTGATATGCTATTCTGAACTTCATTCATTCGATTGAAAATTGAGGTGGCAGATGAAGGCTTAT